TTGCCCTCCCTCACCTTTTGGTAGCGCTGGCAAAGTGTCTTTGCGTTCATGCAACAGTGCTGCTTAATCCTGTCACTCCCCAGTTTCAGCATCCCCTGTGTAATCTGCACATAGATGTCAATATTTTAATGGCTGTTCCATAGCTATGCTTTCTCAGTCCCCTCTCTGCACAGGTTGAGGAGATCCGAGACTTCTTGCCTGCTCCAGGGAAGAGTCCATCTAGGAGTTTCTGGTCTCTGTGACCTCTGGGCAGTGGAGTTCAAAATTGTTACTGGAGCAGACACTGTTGCAGGGACAGGGGCATTGTGAGATAGCTGTTGGAGGACTGTTAGGGTGAGACAGTGTCTACACTCGCACCCCATTGATCTAAGTAGGTTGACTGTGGTTCTGCATCGCTTGGGGAGGAGGTATCACTGTCACAGTGTGCTTACATTAGCAGGAAACAAATTTTGGTGTAGACACACACACAATTAGCTCAACACAAGTCAACTTAGGTCAGCTGGAGATGGCTCACAGGAGCTCTTTGTTAAAATACTCTTTGTCCTCCTTCTGGTCCTGTCCATTTGCCACAGCAGGAAAACTGAAATGGATGCAGATACGTTGTACTCTAGCAGCTCACATGTGGAACAGAGAAGGACTATTCTGAAGAGGAGGGCCAGTGGCAGGAGAGGACAGGGCTGTGTAGGCCATCAGCAAGGAAAGGGGAGAGAAGCTGGGGGAGACAGTGAGTGTTGCCAGCTGTACAGCTACGCTGCAGAAAGCTCCTACTTTGGGCTGCAATAAGATGAGACAGCAGCAAAAGTGGGGGTCTCTTTGGTTCCCTGCTCTCCAGGCTTGAGTGTGGATGTGGCAGCAGGAAGCACATGTGGAAGAACCTGCTTGCGCACCTCAGCTGAAAACCACGAGGAGACGTGCCATCTTGGAACTGAGGGTACATGGTCAGTATGACAGAGTGCTGGGCAAGAACTGCTGACTCTGCCCTCTGTCACACCAGCTCCCATTTAAGGGAAGTAAATTGGAGCTGGCTAGAGAAAACCTGCACCTAATTGGTGAATGGGAGACAGCTGCCAGCCCAATTACCCTGGGATTGTATAAAAGGCTGGGAGGCACAAAGCCATGGGGAGGAGCGAGGGAGAGGAAGCAGAGTGATAGCTCTTCCCTCCTGGGTGCAGACACTAGAACCCAAACTGTGTATGGTGAAAAGGTGGTGGGAGCACAACCGGTAAGTAAATGGCACCAGTGGTTACTGAACCCCAGGATCTCCGAATGACCTTTTCAGCATAGCAGGGGCAGGAGCCAAGAGGGCCCTGCAGTACCCTGCTACAGTCAAGATGTACTAATGGCCATATTGACTATAAGAAATTTTGCCAGAGTCCCATGTTAAAATTTTGGTGGCACATCACTGACCACCATTGTATCCTTCTGTGTCACATGTACATACGACAAGGATGAATAGAGGACATTTTGAGTTTTGATAGTATTTTCTCGTTTCTGGGATGTGCATGCCTCTTAGGGTATGTCTACACTTACTTCCTGGTTCGGCGGCAGGCAATCGATCTTCTGGGATAAATTGATCCCGGAAGTGCTCGCCGTCAACGCCGGTACTCCAGCTCGGCGAGAGGAGTACGCGGCATCGACGGGGGAGCCTGCCTGCCGCGTCTGGACCCGCGGTAAGTTCGGACTAAGGTACTTCTAATTCAGCATTTTTCAAGAACATAACTACAATGTTAAGCAAGGAGTTACTGTGTAATCACACTGGTTTCAATTATTTTGGCAATTTATTTAAACCACAATACAATGAATGGAGAATGGGAGTGGGGAGCATTGGAGAAAATCTTCAACACCCCCTCCCCCCCCCTTCTCATAGTAATGTAGCTAGGTTTGACCCTTTATTTCTAGTTATTAGTCAACAAATTTATGCAGTCTCTCTCGCTCTCACATGCATGATGATTTACGTCTTACCGGCTGTTCCAGGCATCCAAACTGACATGCCTGCGTCGCTGGGGAGTGGCACGTGACCGCTCTTGCGGCTTCCCTGTCAGAAGTCGTTTTTCTGCAGGGAAACACAGAAATCTGTCTGGGACATGAATTCTGTGCATGTGCAGTTATGCCGAATTCCCCCAGGAGTAACACTCACACGCTACCCCAACACACACACTGTCTGTCTCTCTCTCTCTCTCTCTCACACACACACACACAGTCTCACACACTTCCCCAACATACACACACACACTCCCCCCCAACACACATTTCCCCCCAACATCCAAAAATATTTAAATTATTTTTACTAGTGCGATTAAAACTGCAATTAATCGTGACTATTTTTTTACTCTCGCAATTAATTTTTTTAATCATTTGACAGCCCTATTTTATATGTAAACCTGGCACTGAGGGTTTGAATCTGCAAGGGGGCACATACATGACTGTAGCAGTCACTGTCTCCCAGAGGTTTCTGATTGTTAATCTATACCAATAATCTACTTGAAGAACCAGTCACTTATAAGTAGTTTTCCTCTCTCTGCTCCACTTGGTATATCCTGAATTATGGAATAAGTTCTCAGACAAAATGTGCTGAAGCACAACAGGAACATGAGGAGAGGAATCTTCAGCCTCAACATAACAATTATATTAATTTCTAACTGATTAATTATATGGACATTTCAAAACCTCTCACCAATGAAGTTGGCCTGCAAATTGATATTTCTAGGTATCTATCTTGGTTACTTATGTGGCTCTGTTACTGTAGTATCTGAGAACATCCCCACCTTTTAATGCATTTGTCATCACATCACCCCTGGGAGGTACAAATAGGGAATTGGGGGATAGAGAATAAGGGCCAGATTGTCAAAGGTCTTTAGAGCACAGAATTAAATCTAGGTCTCCTAAATCCCAGGCTAACTCCCTAAATGCCGGACTAGGACTTGCAACATCCTTTGCGTGAATGGATTGACCCTTCTGGATTTCTGTTTTGTGTGAACCCAATACCACTGTCTAATTATGCCCACTACACATCCCTTCCACGCTGCAGGACAGAGAGCCACTTCATTGGCCTCTGGCACAGCCATTTAGGGTGCCTACTCATTTCCATTAGTTCTAACTAGTGCATCAAAAATGCTGCTCTTCTCCATCCAATAAGGCAGTGCATCACCATAGTAACCGAGTGCTTTTTATGGAAAATTGATAGCAATAGCAAAGGCCTTAGTGGACTTTGTGGAATCCCTGTCATTTTTTACTATTTGGGGGTAAAACTCTGGGGTAGGGCTATTGTTTGTTTGTTTTTAATTGTATTAATTTATTGTTTGTTGCAGTTTTTTGCAGTCAGTTTGTTTCAGAAGTTGATTGGTTAGTTGATTATGTTGTCTGTTTTTGTTTGTCTGAGCTTTTATGGGTGGAACAAAATATACTTACTTCCAAAGTATACAAAAACTTGACTGAGGAGGTGTAATGTGGCCTATTTTAAAAACTTTATTATAGTCATCAGTTTTCTTCTCTTTCTCTCTCAATTTTTAATATATCTAAAATGATTATACTACTTTATAAATTCAGGGTTTTTTTCTTTTTGAATGAAAGCTGTTTTACTCATCAGCCAAATTCAGAAATCTAGGATATTTTTCCGCGCTCATAAAAAAGAATTTGGTTTCGTATAATTCCTTTCATATTCAAGATCGTATCCCAAACTGTTTCACCAAATAAAGAGAGAGATATCTTTTCTGTCATGGTCACCTACCCTGTGCAGTGCAGTGACCAAATACAATAGCTATTATGCATTCAACAATAGCTCACAAAGCCATGAGCATATAAATTTCTTCTATTAAGAGAGGAAATATTAAGAAATATTCTCTGAAGAGAGGACAATAGAGATCGTCCTCTATTCTCTTTCAATGATGCTATAAAATGTTTAACTCTATCCTGGACAGCCACCAGAAAATTGGGAAAAGGACCTAAGATTAGCACCTCATATAAAGAGTCACACCTCCAACAGTACAGTATCTCCATACTAATTTACTGCAGCATTAGCACATGAACCCAAGTCTCAACCTGGATGAAATTCCATTACCACCTTAAAGATGACCCTGTCAGTAAACATAATTGTGTTCATCAGCTAGGAATAAAATATCTTTTTTTATGAAACTTTAATTTAAAAGAAATTAATTGGAAAGTTGATAGATAATTAACTCTGTCACTTTTTATTTGAAGGTGGCTAGGATTCTGAATTGATTTGTTTATTTTAAATTGATTAGTATGAGTGTTTGTTTTTCCTGACACCTACATTGATTTGTGGTTTATGCAAGCCAGGTGAAGTGGTATTTTGACTAGCAATATTAAATTCCAAAGGAGCAGAAAGAAAATGTCAAAGCATAAAAGGCATTTTCAAGGAGAGTCTTACTAGTGTTAGTCAAACAAATATTGACAAAGTTTTCCAGAGTAATATTAAATATTTCTCTTGATTATAAAAGTTTTGCTTTCATATAGTTTACCTTTAGCCTGGTATTGTTCCCTTTTACAAATCACAACATTGTGGGGAGGAAATGGGATTAGCAGTTTGCCAGGGACTTTGGGTTCCATTCTCTACTCTGCTAGTAATTCACTGTATGACCTTAAGCAAGTCACTTAATTCTGTTGACCACTAGGAAGGGCTCTGTAAACAATAGCTGTCTGTAAACTATATATTCCAGCATATTATGTATTGCTTTAAAGTAACTAGTAATTGTTTATTCAGTGGTTACTATATGACTTTCAAAGCATTTATAATGGTTGATTTTAACAGTTTAGGCACCAGTCTTGCAAGCTGCTCCACGCGGACAGAGCTCAATTAAAATCTTATATTTTAAATTATTAATTATAAAAGTGGAGGGAGAAAAGAAGAGCATTTGATGAATATTCAGTATATGAAATTCTTACTTTCTGGTGAGGTATTATTCTTTATATACAGCTACCTTCCAAATTGATGTTCTTTTCTGATACCATGTGTTGTTTATTTTGTTTTTCTGTCTGCTTAGGACTGGTCCATCACATTTGTAATCTCTTAATAGAAACTGCAGCTCTGTATTTAGAAGTGGATGATAAAAGCAACATCAAGACAGCTAATGGACTGTTGCTGTCCTTGCTTGACATTTTGCATTGCATGCTGATATATACAGCGAACGTCATCCGCCTGACTTTACAGGTATGGAATCTATTTTCTGGTAGAGTGAGGCCATTGTAAAAAAATTTAGTCTCTTTCCTATTTCCTCAGTACTGAATTTCCTACTAAAAAAATGAATAAAATTAGTTTGCTGTGTTTTTGTAGACATTTTGGTCCCAGGATATGAGAGTCACAAGGTATGTGAGGTAATATCTTTTATTGGACTAACTTCTGCTGGTGTAAGGGACAAGATTTCAAGATTCACAGAGCTCTTCTTCAGGTACGGAGAAGAAAACTAGTGTTTAAGTTAAATACAAGATGGGCAGATTGTTAAGCACAAGAGGTTCACACATGTTGTAAGAGATCACCTCTCCAATCGTAGGACAATGGAGGAATAGTAAGCTGCAGGTATATTACATATTAAGAACGGCCATGCTGGGTCAGACCAATGATCCATCTAGCCCAGTACCTTGTCTCTGACAGTGGCCAGTGCCAGATGCTTCACAGGGAATGAACAGAAAAGGATAAATTTGAGTGATCCGCTTTCTATCATCCAGTCCCAGCTTCTGGCAATTGGAGGCTTAGGGATACCCAGAGCATGGGGTTGCATCCCTGACCATCTTGACTAATAGTCATTGTTGGAGCTAACCTCCATGAATGTATCTAATTCTTTTTTGAACCACTTATATTTTTGGCCTTCACAATATCCCCTGGAAATGAGTTCCACAGGTTGACTGTGCATTGTGTGAAGAAATACTTCCTTTTGTTTGTTTTAAACCTGCGATCTATTCAGTTCATTGGGTGACACCTCATTCCTGTGTTACGTGAAGAGATAAATAACACTTCACTGTTCACTTTCTCCACACCATTCATGATTTTAGAGACCTCTATCATATCCTCCCTTATAGTTGTCTCTTTTCCAAGTTGAACAGTCCCAGTCTTTTTAATCTCTCCTTGTATTGAAGCTTTTCTGTGCCCATAATCATTTTTGTTACCCTTCTCTTTACCTTTTCCAGTTCTAATATTTATATATATATATATATTAAATATATATATTTGAGATGGGGCAACCAGAACTGCATGCAGTATTCAAGGTATGGGGGTAACATGGATTTATATAATGGCATAGGATATTTTCTGTTTTATTATCTATCCATTTCCTAATGGTTCCTAACATTGTTAGCTTTTTTAACCTCTAGTACACATTGAGTGGATGTTTTCAGAGAACTATCCACAGTGACTCCAAGATCTCTTTCCTGAGTGGTAACAGCAAATTTAGACCTCATTTTGTATGTATAGTTGGGATTATTTTTTCCAATTTGCATTACTTTGCATTTATCAACACTGAATTTCATCTGCCATTTTGTTACCCACTCAGCCAGTTTAGTGAGATCCATTTCTAACTCTTCACAGTCAGCTTTGGATTTAACAATCTTGAGTAATTTGTATAAAAAGTTGTTGTAATGGGCCATTAAACCAGTGTCTCTGTTAAGTCTGTAGTTTTTAGGGTCCCACATAGTTAGGAAATTTATTTCTCAGGTTCATCTTTTGAAGGCATTGTGCAAGTTTCCTTTGAGGACAAGGACTGAAAGGTCAGATATGAGTGATCATTTTTGATAAAAGTGTTCGCCCACAGGTGATGGGGTGTTTGTCTTTTATTATTTGTCTATGTGAGTTCATTCGAGAGTGTAGTGATTGTCTGGTTTCACCCACATAGTTGTTATTGGGGCATGTGATGCACTGGATGAGGTACACACACATGATAGGCATTTGTAGGACCCATGCTAAAGCAGCAGCAGCGCCTGCCAAAACAGATGCAAAACCTGCAGACATATCTCCACTGCTACAATGATCTATCCCTCTACAACATACCTTTCAAGATCCATGGGTCCTACACATGTCTCATCCAGTGCATCAGATGTCCCAACAACTGTGTTGGTGAAACAGAAGTTGGTCCAATAAATTATATTACTTTACCCACCTTGTCTCTCTCAATAAAATTAGAACAGATTGTCGGGGGATTGAGGGGGGTAGAATCGAGTGTTTTCTGTTGGATATGTCTTTTTTTGGTTATATTTTACTCCTTTGGATTACTAGAGAAACAGTTGTGATGGTAGTAGACATTTTATGTAAACTCTTGTGAAAACAAAGCATTTTTCTCCCATGATATAGAACAAATAATAAGGACACATCACTGATCCTATGTTGGATGATAGTAGGTTGGAACTGCAAGCTTTTTAATAAGCCAATTGTTTATTCAGCAGTTCAGCATAGTTTGAAGTACATTGTATAATTTTGTACATGGTTTTAAAAAAAGCTTCAAGAGCATCTCTATGAACCACCCCACACCCAAAATATATTTCTCTGTTGAAATGCACATCAACCATTATTTATTATTTACCTTTCTGGTTTTGTGCTACAAGACAAACCTCCCAGTGGGTGCTATCAGCCTCTCAATACAATACCCTAGCTCAAAAGAAAACAATAATATGATCCCCTTAAGCAGATGATTTGATTCTGATCAGGATTCTACAGGCAAAAAGTGCCAACAGACACTTATTCTCATTTAACAGAAAACTTCTGAAACCAATATGTTTTCCTTTTTGTATTTGTATTCAGAGCCAAAACAATTCATTTATAAGTGGATTTTTTGTTCCCATCTTTTAATTACATCTTTGTTTGCCAACCTGTTCCCAGGTTGATCAGATCCCAATATGCAAATCAGTAATTCAGAACCACTAATATTAAATCACTCATTTAGTGTCTGATCTAATGCTGACTGAAGTCAATGGGAAGACCTACATTCACTTCAATGAGCTTTGGATCAAGTCCTTGTACGTATCGTAGGGCTACCTCCTTAATAAGTATGCTCCTTCATATGGTGTTAGCTAGCTGAAGTCAGTGCCACACAATATGCTAACAACACAGATCCTTGTTGATTTTTTTGCTTTGGTGCACTCCATAAATAGCTTAATTTGACATTTTCTCATTGATGTTTCAAAACATTTCCTCCCTAGTGCATTTGGGATATTAAAATATATGATGTCATGTTAGTCAATAGCGACTCACTACTGAGGTGTTGATATGTGCACTTTACAGAAAGTTACCCATATTTGAAATGGGTGGATGACCATACAATGTCTCTGCTTGTGCAGGTGCACTGACAAAGATATTTACCTTCTCCTGCAGCCCAGATCCCTTTTTGCTGTGACTAAATACAAACTTAATAGCAAAAAGGGCAGTGTCAGAGATCCCCTCTGCTCCATCTAGAAGACTTACCCTTCTTGTATTTCATTTTTAAAAGGATTATTCAAAGGGATTGCATTTTGTGCTTTTAAAAGATATTTAAAACCTCTGTTTCTTTTACCCAAACTCGGTTAGTCCTATGATTTCCTTGTAATAAGATAATCTGATTAATGCCCTCAATTAGTTGACAGAAAGTGACTTCTGTATCTAGACTAATTGCACTGGCACATCTTGTTCTCCTGTCTTGACTAGTATACTTTTTTCCCCCCTATCTTGAGGAGGATAGAGAATCTTACTGTACTGAGTGTTCTGAGAAGGAGGGGAGAAAGCCAGAAGAAGGCAGGCCGATTGTTTTGTGTTTCGTACAATTAAAAAAGTCCTGCTGTATTTTAAAAGAATTTAATGGGTGTGAAGTGAGTGCTAAAAATCTGCCTTTCTGTTCATGCAAATTTACATGATCAGTTATACTATCAACCAGGCATATCCTGCGTGCTTCGTTTTTGAAATATTTGGCAGAAAGATCATCAAGATTTTCTGATAGCTTTGTCTTTCTTGAGTTTCTATGTTATTGTAATCTAGTGCATCTGGTAAAAGTAATAATACTTTGCACTTCTGTGATGGCGTCCATCCAAGGATCTCAAAGCACATTACAAATACTGCCTACTGATTCCTGTGGAAAACCTTTTGATTGTACCTTTTGTCGTACAAAAGCAGGGGATTTCATGTAAATCAGAGCAAAATCCTTTTCTCATGTAAATTGCCAGAGCAAAGTGTTTCTTCGGTGTATTTTTCCTAAGGGATCAGATATTTTTGAAAGTGTTCTTAAAGAATAAGTGTTCCCTGACTGAGCACAATTTGAATAGTAAGTATATTATTAGGACTCCATATAAGCATCTAGGAGAAGAGAGGATTTGTTACATAGTCTGGTAAAATAAAGAGAAATGCAACTGAAATCTATATACTTAGGTCCAAATTCTGCCCTCATTTACATGTGTCAACCATTATTGACTGAGTCTAAAGCTTAAATTTTTAAGATTGGTAGCCAATGACTAGTTGGCAGTCTGGAGAACTTATTTTGGGTACCAGAAATCAGATTTTCTTAATTTTCTCCAATGCTTCTACCGAAAAATCTGCCTCTGTATTTTAAAGGACCAAGCTTCTATGTTTAGTGCTATCAGAGGACTATTGACCATTTCCCTGTGGAATCTTATTCATCAGGCATTTTCTAAAAGTAGTAAAGCACCTGAAGTTCAAATTCCACTACATCATTCCACTTTGGAAATTCAAGTCAGGAGGGTGGGAGTGGAAGTGTTAACTTTTGAATCATCTTGATTTTCTTGTTTTCAATTGTGCTTAAAATCATCTCTTATAAAATAGAGGGTGATCTTTGGAGACTTACAGTGAACATTAAAATAAAGAAGTCATATATTTGTGTAGAGAGAGAGAATATATACAAAAAACATAGATTGTAGATAGACATATATTTTATTATGAGTTCATGGAGATATATATTATACATACAGTAGGTATGTATCTTGCTGAAGAAATGTCACGTAGGTCAGCATATTAAATCAGTTTAGAGTGGATGTGACAGCATGAGTCCCTTTTGCTTTGTGCTTATTCTTACAGACACAATCAGACTATAACTTCTTATAGAGATCTCCGAATACTTAACTAGGAAAGGGAGTATAAGAACACCTCCTTCGAACTTCCATTCAAATTTGTACCGCCTAATGGACCTTATTTGTTTCTCAAAGCTGAGCACTCACCAAGACTTCTTTTTATTTTTCCTTGTCTCATTAAGGCACAGAAATCTGGCACAGGAGGGGACACCCAGGCTGCTGAAGACCTTCTCCTTATCAATAAACCGCTGACAGACCTAATTAGCCTGCTTATTCAGCTGGTAAGAACTTGCTTGTTTGTAAGTCTTTTGGAATGTTGCTAAAGTTGAAATTACTCCTCTGGTCTGGTAGCCAAATGCAAGTTTTTGGCAATACCTTGTTTTAGTGTCCATACAAGGGGACTTTGAATTTCAAGTTCCTAAATTCAAAGAAACTGCCTCATGACACCTTGTTACTGTGGAGCATTTTGAAATATGAGCACATATTACCACCCACTCATAAATCAGGTGACAGTGAAACCACTTTCCTTGAATTTCAATTATTTTTAATTAAAATGTCACATTGATATTTTGTTATGGAATGTACTTAGTTAGGAGGTACACATGGTATGACTGTATTAGTATCTGTGTTAGCAATATACCTTGTTAGTACCCCTGCCCCTAAACCAAGTCATAATGATAATATATATCAAAGCAGAGAGAGGACATTGGCCACTGCATCTAGAATCTGTGAAACTGATCAAGTATCAGAGGGGTAGCCATGTTAGTCTGAATCTGTAAAAAGCAACAGAGGGTCTTGCATCTGAAGAAGTGAGGTTCTTACCCACGAAAGCTTATGCTCCCAATACTTCTGTTAGTCTTAAAGGTGCCACAGGACCCTTTGTGAAACTGATGTTGACTTACTTCTTTGCAGCTGGACATGCCAGTTAGGCATGGTAAGGTTACATTACTTGCAATCCATGGAATCCAGGCCAGGTAATGCCTGAGAGTGATTCATGAAGGGTAACACATCATGCACCATGTTCCAGAAATATGGAGTGGTATATGAAGTGACATGTATGTTGAAACTACTTTCATGAGGCATGGCCACAGCCATGGTGGCATCATTAAGATCACCCTGAAAACAGAGACTCTCAAGACTTGGGCTCTTAACCTCCACATATGCAGATGTATAGTTCCTATCTTGTGGAACCAATCAGAAGCAAGAGGTTTGGGTTAGATTCTGTGACAGAACTTGCAGCACAGCAGGAGGAGGGTTGAGGAGGGTTTAAGCCATCTTTGTAATCTCCTTACCCTAGACTGCTCTAGAAGTTGGAGAGGCCCCTGATGTAACCTAAGCAGCTCCAGAGCACTGTCTAAGTTATGGTAGCCTCTCTGGGGCTGTGTGCTATGACCCGCCCTCAGCACAACCACTATGCCAGGGCTTGTGAAGAGGTCTTCAGAGGACAATCCTACAACAGCACCTACCCCAGGGATATCCTCCTTTGGACAGATAAAGGGCTTTTAGGGTCCCTTTATGGTGCTCCAGCCCCTTTGCCAGGTGCTGGCAAAAAGAGACTGGAGATGAGAGTAGGGTCTCACCCTGGTGCCAAGCCCTCCCTTTTCCAGGTGGGTTGTCTCCAGGCTCCCCAGTGAAAAAGGCAGCGCATGTCCCACTGGAATTTGACTAAGATGAGCCCTGTCCTAGGGTCTGCAGTTTCTTCAGGACAGGATAAATAACGTTCTCTCGGCTAGCACTCATTGGGTCTAACTTCCGTCTATAGTGTTCGCAGGGGCTCTATTGGAGGATTGTCCCCATTGTAACCACCCACGCCTAAATGCCAAATCCTAACTTAGACTTCCAGTTAAGTACCTGGTCTCTTCCTTTCTCCTTTTTCTTTGTTTTTCAAATCTGATTTCTATTTGGTGTCTGAACCACCAAAATTTGTAATAAAGAATGTAGGTAAAAGGTTCCAGTCTCAGCTAAACAAAACCTATATGTATCCAGACATGAATGCTGACCTTCTGATTTTATTCTACCAGTGGACTCTTATTCTGAGGAAGTATGATGCTTTCTTTATAATTTTCTGTACTAGACTTGTCTATAGACATTACCTAGACTAGATTTACTTGTACCAGCAATTGATAAAAGCCTTTTCAAATCCCCACTCAAGCCCCCACAACAAAAAGCAGAGTGTGTTCAAATTTGGATTACATAATATTCTAACCCTCTTATATTTTGTTAAACAATTTAAAAATCTATGTATATGGTAAATTTTGAAACCTAAACAGATTCACAATGTCCTTTTAAGCAAAACTGAAGATAGACAAATGTTTACTTTTTTTGACCTTTAGACTTAAATTTCATTAGCTCCCTAAAGAACAGAAAAATAGTAGCCATGCTTTGCTCAGTCTATACCACCTGGAAGTCTATTATAGCTTTCTAATTAAAGAGTAGAATAAGATGTATAGTTAGCATGTACTGATTATGTTACCACCCGCCTCCACATCTCATCAGAGCAGCCTCAATTACAGCTGTGCTTTACTTTGTTCCACTATTCTGACTATTCTGATGTATTGAAGATGGTTTAACATGTGGCTTGGTATTTGCCGTTTTAAATATATAAATCAAGAAGCATGGCGAGGCGTATTTATTCTTTTGCTTTTGAGTCTTGAAAAAGATTTTTTTAAAGTGATCAATCTTCCCTTGTATCCTGTGTGAGAGGTGCAAATTCTTAACATGAATACATAATTGCATTGGTTTATGTAAGTTATCTCACCTACTTTCTTTTCTTTTGAACTTTGCATCAATTGCCTATTAGTGAAGGTATCTGTATTGAACCTTTGTTATAAAATTAAAAGCAATCTTTGTGCTGATATTGGCATACATTATCTCTGGCAAAGCAGCATTTAACACACAATCATGTCAGCCCAGGAGTGAGCCCACAGCTGCCCATGGAAATTACTTGTTCCAGGGATAATGATTAATCCTAATAGAGCAGTGTGAGTAGGCGATAAGAGGGTACAAGTGACATTGTAAACTATATCCTTTAACTGGAGGTTGGAAGGTGTAGACTGTGAACTCCACTGGTTCTGGGGCATGACCCAAGACTTCTGGCCATGTTTTTTCAAGTATGCGCCTTTGGGTATAGCCCAGGGACTGAATTGGTCCTTAATTCTATAGATTATTTTTATAGTTTCTACCCCTCTGTAGATAACATTTACTTACTAGAAGTTAAGTAAAACATGATTGAATGTGGGCCTTTTATTACATACAACATTAGATGAGATAATAGTGCTGTGAATCATAGCTGTACATTTGTCAAATTTTGAGGAAAGTCATGGAGGAAGTCATGGTAACAAAGGGTCAGATCCTCATAGGTGCAAAGCATTTGGCTGCAGGGGAAGATGCAGCTCAGCATCCCTCAGTTTGGCCTAATTGTCACAACTCGGGGAAATCATGAAAAAATGTCTGAAAAGTTAATCATGGTTTGTAATTACCAAACAATCTTTGCAGAACCAGGCCCATTACATTTATTCTTTTTTATGTGGGAAATGGGTGAACATTGCATAATCTCTTGGGTACATAGCGACTATCTTATTCCCACTTACATATCCCTTATGGTAGACGGAAGCCTCTTAAAATACCACCCCACAAACATCATCTTGTTTCACCACTGCTTTTTCCTGTTTTCTCTCCTATTGGCCGATTGGTCTATTCCTTGGACATCTCCCCTCTTGCGACCCCCCCTTGACTAGTTCTCTGAGTTCTTCAGTGTATTTGTTCATCCTGATACCCTGTTATCTGTAGCCTCTCATTTAATCCTATGGGTTGTTTTCTTAAGAACTTTAATAGTTATTTACTTTTTCTTCTCCCAAATACTACCGGCTTATCCATTTCGCTGACTCATCAAACTTCCAACATTTCAAGAACAATAGACATGTTAAAAACTATTAAAATTCTGGACTCCACATGTCTCATGACATCTGTGACAGACAGTCATCCATTTAATCATAGTTAACTAAACCTCTAATTCAAAAGCAACCTGGAAAATACAATGCAAATGACTAAACCAGACAAAGTTTATAGGACTAAACACTGACAAAAATATACCCTCTGTATATATAATATTTAGCAGAATTTAGCATCTTGTTTTTTGATGAGTGTACATGTTGCTATGAGCCGTTGTATAGAGGTATGATAGCACTGCTGTATTTAAGGTTGAAAGCGCCACTGCATTCTAAAGCCTGTTTTCAGTCATTTTTAATCTTTTCAGAAATGTTCCTTTTTGGTTGAATTTTCTCATCCTTGTCACAGTTTAAAGATGAATTTTTAAACTTTTTTGTAAATTAGAATTGATTTTGAGTTTTATGAGCATGGGGAAAATGTGTTCTGCTTTCAAAGGTTGCGGGGGGGGGTTGTTTTTGTGATCATCTCACATTCAGATTCAAACTTGGCAAGGACGTTGTCCTCAGTGAGGGGTGTGACCTGAAAGGAACAACATTGGACTCCATTTAGCAATTATATAATGCACCTGTACAGTGTTTTATTTTTCTTGAGGCAGTAAGTATGCATGGTTCCAGACAGATAGAGTACACAAAAGCAATTTAGATTGTCTAAGATGAACCATGTCATCCTGTAACTTCCCTGCACCCCCACCTAACTGTCTGTCCCTCTTAGTGTCTCAGTGATCTTTGTCTGTGAAACTGTAAAGAGAAACATATCCGAATTATACTTATTGGTAAGAGAATATTGACATACCTGGAGTTAATACTGGATTTGGGGCAGGTCACTTTATCCATCCCACTTAAAATAAAAGCAAGGCTTAACTCCTATCAAGTTCTTTAAAAAAATGTACCTAAGGTAGCAACTCTAAGGACAGAGAACAAAACTTTAAAACCTAGAAGAGATGAAAAGATCTAGTAGATTATCTGGTTCATTCTACCTGCTAATGCAAGTTTGTTCCCTGTACACGTTCATGCTTTGTCCACTCTAGTTTTTAAATAGCCCAAATGATGAGGCTTCCATCTCCCATAGGAGACTCACCTACAGTCTGATAGGTAGACATTTTCCCTGATAGTCAACCTACATTTCCCTGTCTCAGGGCCAGGGCATGGGTGGCCTGGCCTAGGAGTTAATTAATGTCAGGTGCAGACCAAGGTGCCAGGAGCCAATTGCCAGGAATCAGGCCAGGTTAGAATGCCAGGAGATCAGAATCGAGGGACAAACCGAGGGCAGGGATCAAGAGTCAGTTACCAAGAGTCAAGCCAAGTCAGGATCGGAAGGCAGGAACTGGTAAATG